CCATATACTGATATCTGAAAATATTGCAGAACTTCTGGTATTAATTTATTAAAGTTTTATAAATATAAAACTTGTTATATTTTGATGTAGTTAAAAAAAATATGCATGCTAAGGTTTTAGATAAAAAAATCAAAAAGTGATAAATAAAGATGTAATTAGTATTACATTTATAGATATAACATGCAGTTATAAAAAGCATGATTGATATAAATCACATGCATGTAATTGTAAAGATACAATAGATATAAGTTATATGTATACAGTTGTGAAAGATACAATAGAACATAAACTAATGCTATAAGAGTAAGCTTTTTATTGATACATATCAACTTCAACATAAAAATATTAATTATCATCCAAGTTTATTATTTATTTTTAAACTGATGCTGACTACATAAAAAAAGAAGATAATGAATTATTTGATGATAGGAATGAAGTAAAATGTAAAAGGCTACAAAGTAAATCATGTATCTATCATTTTAAATAATTTATGCCACTAAAATTTTAGGTATAAGACATCGAAGAATCTCTAGCTAAGCAAAAATACACTAGCAAAATTGCTTCTAATGACATTGGATCAAATGTTAGTCTTATATAAAGATCATTCAATAAGTTTTCGTGATTTGATTTTCCAAATACTAAACTATTCTATAAGAAGGATTTCAATTATAACGTGAAGGTAAAATAAGATATAAATAAAGTTCTTCATTAGGTATATAAAAAATATATCATCAATATCATTAATAATAGACATATCATTGATAATAGATTCATAACCATTTAAATTATCAGGTTTAGAAAATAAATAAGGTATATCTGTGAAATAATTTACATTGTGCTTTATTTTTTTTAAAAGAAAAAAAAAATAATTTTTTTTGATTTGATTTAATTTGTTATTCTTTTTTAAAAATTCAATAAAATAAAATAAAATAAATAGATTTTAAAAAAATTACTTGTTCAGGAATCAAACTATTTTAGAATTCTTAAAAAAGTATTTTGATATTCTATTCTTTATTGTAAACATAAAATTAATGATCAACTAAAGTAAATTTAAATCACATGATATCATAATCTTACTAAAGAGGAGTGAGGTTGGATCTATAATAACCTATAATTACATAATTTATGTAAACTTCCTAATATTTATTTATAATAAAAAAATTGATTTAATAATAATTTAAAAACATAAATAAATACATAAATAAATTTATTTAAAAGAAGTTAATATACTATATAAGATCCAAAAAGAGAAACTATTTAAAAAATAATATATCAAATATTATTTTAAGCTAATATTAAATTAACTATTAACACACATTTTTTAATATTTTTTAATTACTTTTTTCATTTTTATTTAAAGTCTTATAATAATTTTTATAAAATATAATATAAAAATTATCATCTATTAATATTATTTTTATTTTTATTAGATTTTTAAAATATTTTTTTTGATATTTTAAAAATAATACTATAATGTAAATCTTAACAAATTACTTTTTTAATAATAAATAAAAATTGGCAAAAATATTAAAATAAATAAAGATATATTAAGAATTCTAAAACTAATCACAAAATTATTATAATTTGTAATTATTTATTTTAAAAAAATGAAAAAGATTTATAATACAAAATATTATAAAAGATAATTATAAGAAAAATAAAACAAGATATTTTATTTTTTCTCAAAAAAATGTCTTAATATAATTTAAGAATGAAAAATTCACAATTAATTAAAATTTTAATTAATCAAAAAAATAACATTTATGAGCCAATTATACAGTCAACTCTCTATAAATGCATACCCTGTCTAAATGCACTATTTAGCTTAGTCCTTATATTACAGAAACTTATGAAATCGAGACTATATAGTAGCTATGTAGCCACTATATATATTATAAAAAGTATTAAGCGTATAGTTACTCTAAGATTAACATATAATTATTACTTAAAGAAGATATAGTGGATATACATTTACTACAAAGCTACTATGAAATATCTGGTAAGTTTATATATAGACAATTTATATTATAATTATGGTAAATATATTGAAAACGTATAATTGTAGTAACATATAATAAAATTGTAATGAATGTATAGTTTATTTATTGTAAAATTATAATAAACATATAATAAAGTATCAAAAAGTTGTAGTTAAAATACAATAATAATATTAAAATGTTATTATAAAAATATAGCTACTATAGTAATATCTATCATAAATATTGTTAAAGGAAAAAAAAATATTATTATTATTATTATCACTTGAATATTAATATTTCACCTTAATAGTTTTACTTTATCTTGTTTATTTTTTATGTTTCCTTTCATTTGCATTGTCATATTTCTTTTATATCAAGCCTTAACTTATAGGTTGTGCTCTTTTATTTTTTCATTATATTTTTCTTTGCTGAAACCCCTGATTTAGCAGTTTTAATGCTGCTAGCATATAACCATCATGCTACGTGCTTGTAGTAATTATTTTGTTTATGTCAGCAGATTATTACCTAATCATTTCACGTCAACTATATAGACACGATGAAGTGCTTTAATTTTTCTATTTTTGTCTATTTTTTCATTTTTTTTATTATAAAACTTAAAATTAAATAAATAAAGTCACTTCCTATCGGCGATGAAATTAATATTTTGATTCTTTTTTTATTCTTTTTTTTTGATAAAATTTAAAAATGTAAAAGTATAAAATCTAATAAAATAAAATAAAGTATACTATTGAATATAGAATACAATAAAAATAAATTAAAGTGTAAAAGTTAAAATTATAGAATAAAAATGATAAAATTTATTTGTCCACGTGAATTATTAAAATTAAGTTCACTGTTCACTGTAAAATCACGTTATCATTTGCTGCAATAAAATGTTCTTGTCGCATTAAAAGTAAAATGTTCATTTGGTACCTTGTCGCACTAAATCAAGAGCCTTAATTGTTTGGCGCAGTAAAACCACATTGAAATCATAAAGCATAGATAATAATGAATAAAATATGACTAGATGAATAATAAAAATTAATGAATAAAATAAAGTAAAATTTCTAATGTCTAATAGAATGCAATTTAAAAATTTTTAATGATATTTGCCTGAATAAGAAACATAAAAAAAACTTGAGAGATCTTTTTTTTAGTCTAACATCCATTTTCGTTCTGTATTACAACAAATGTTTCGAAGCAATATTTTTGCCAGATCTACTCAGTACTTTAAAGTATATCGTAATTTTATCGAGTTTCTTAATAGCCTTGACATTGTATGCTGTATAATGCACTTTAAATGCCTCCCTAACAAATAATACAAGCCGCTCCATCATTCTACAATTTTTAAGCATTTTTCTGTTGGTATCCTTTAAATATCTTGCTCAACGACTTCCTGAGAAATGAATTCGTTGACTTTCAATCTTGTTATTGTGGCTATTTCAAGTCCTTCCTTTAATCTTTTGTCCTTTAATTCTTGGACCTTCCTTTCAATTTTCTTATTAAATTTGCTGCGAAAATCTGCTAGAGTTCGTTTAGAATGACTGATGACCTCTTCAGTATTATCACTGAAAAGGTCATAGTTGAATATTTCCTTTACAAAGTCTTCAATAGCTTCATCCAATAGTTCTCTACACCTAAGAAAAAGACATCTAATTTCTTCACCCCAAAGTTGAGCATTTGATTTTTCTTTGTCTGGCATAATCTTAGAGTTTATGATATTAGAAGTTTCGTTTAGGAGAGGAGATTCCAATAGTATATCTGACATGTTATACATCTGGTATGCCATTGTTAGTATCTTTGGTCTTTTTACTAGCCACTGACAAATCTCTAAAGCATTTGTCATATCCTTAAATGCTTCGGGTTTCCCTAATAAAATCAATTAAATCATTTAAAACTATAAATAATTTAATAATGTGATTAAAGCCAGTGAAAAATACTTGATTTCTTGTTGTAATGTTTGGCAATTTCCTCCCATCATTAAAGTCTTCATAAATTTCTTCATTTCTTTGTCTTTTATTGGCTTTCGTTGTTTTATTGTGATAATAGTCTAATTATTACAAAATAATTATTTTTTGTAGATTAAAGACACAAATCATATACATTTAATATATTTACCCGTTTCTTCTTCACTGTCTGATAGTAACAGATTCGTGACTCCAGTCTTTTTTGTTCGTTTGTTAAGCGGATTACTTTTCTTAATTAATTCTTTTTATAATAAAAGGTTAGTTTTAACTTTAGTTTCAAATAAAGAAAACTTATAATAATTTACTAAATTCTTACTTGTAGATACAACTGACACGTTCCTACCAAAATCATTGAAATTGCCATTCAAATCATCACTGAAATCACCTTCGACATCATTAATATCGAAATTGTCATTGACGTCATTACTGAAATCACCTTCGACATCATCATCATTACCATTATTGATATCATTGATATTATCACCATTGTTACTGCAGTCATCGTTTTTAGGCGAAGTTAGACGCTTTGAATTTGCTGGTGACCTAACTGATTGTTTTTCCTTTTCACGACCTTTTAATTATAAAAAAATATAAGTTTTATTTTAATTTTAATAATTTAATATAACATTTTATTATACTTACTTGTAATATGATCATTTTTAAGTGAAGGAAGTGTAATAGAAACCCTATTCCTTTCGTGATCTAAGTTATCTAATGCAATAGCAATTAAAATTATATAATGTCCGCAAAAAAATTTGAAATGTTTAGATTACTAACCTGTAGTTTCATCAAAGTCATTTTGAAAAGTATTAGGTACGAAGGAAGTAGCTTCTGTGACAGTTTTTCTTTTACCATGGCCACGACCACCACCTCTTGCATGACTAGCTCTTCCACGCTCTCCTAATTATATTAATAAAATGATATTGTTATTATGGTATGTTTATTAGAGATTATTATAAATAATTTACTAACAACAGTTTTAGGCGCAGTAGAAGCAGCATCCTTTCTCTTTTCACGACCATGTCCACCTATTTTAAAAATAAATTACAAATATCTAATTGATAAAATCAAAAATTTTATTAAACTCGTCTGCTACGACAGCCTGTTCTTGGATTTCTTGGATCAAATCGTCAGCAGGTTTGTTGATCTTCTTTTTCTTCTCACGACCACATCCACCTGATAAAATAAAAAGATATTTTTAATTTGCAATTAGTAACAATAATGTATTTATAAATATTTGTAATTAGATAAATAAAAATAAAAAATTAAAAATATATATGTAATCTATAATAATTAAAATAGATATTACTTGCTAAAGTTTTTTATTGTCTTTAATTGATCGTGTATTCATCATTTTCAATGCTCTTTATAAAATAAGGATGATTGTTGTAAAATTAGAGAATAACGAGTTGTAAAAGAGAAATTGTAATTTTATTGATTGTTAAGAAAAATGTTATTTATAATACACAACTCTCTTTTTATAATAATTAGTCTTTTCATCACGATTTAGGCTTTATCTTCTTTCGATATAAATAGTTACTGTGGAAATACTGATTATCTTTTTATAGTTTAAGTCTAAATTCATTAATAAAAAAACACAGACTATTTAATAGACTTTGTGCCTTTTGTACACCATAATAAACTATAACAAACATAAAATATGAATCTTGATCTATCACATGTATTAATTTTGATCTACTTGCTGATCTTATTATAAAACAATTGTTTATTTATACAGTAATCAGCATATGTATCATGTATGTATAACAAACAATAGATTTTTACCAAATCAAGGATAAAATATACTTTTTGTATACACTTATAAATAAAATATACTTTCTATATTAAACGCCCAATTAAGAACAAATTCCGACATTGTTCTAAAAAAAATATATTTTTTTTTCTTTAACCTTAAAATTTCAAAAATGCGCAAAAGTCGTCTTTCATTAACCAAACCTTTCTCTTTACGCAAATTTTCTAGACATAATATTCTTAAAAGGCATAGTTCATGTAAATAATAATACATTAGATAATACAGGCAGTCTTGATAGTCCGAACCTTTAGTAATTATTATTTACGCTAATAATTTCAGTTCTTTAACTATATGGCTTAGCAAAAACCATGCAGAGGAACCATTTTTGTTG